TCCTGGAGATCATTTCTCTGCCCAGGTACTGAGTGTGCCGTGAGTGTGTTCCTCACCTCTGGTCCTGGAGATCATTTCTCTGCCCAGGTACTGAGCACACCCTGTATGTGTTCATAGCCCAGCAACTCGGTACGGTCTTGACTTTTTATGGCTTCCTAATCCTATCAAACAAAAGAACATGAAGTGTCAGGGCACAGCAAAGAATTGAATTTGCAATAAGGAAAAACTTACCCAGAAGGGCGTCCTCTCCTCTAGAGTGGCCCAAACTGCTGCAACATCTCCTTTGATGAAGAGTTTTGAGAAGGGAAGCAGACACACAGAGGAATGCACGTGTGCCCTTCATGAGGCTCCCTCAGCCGCACTCGGCACTTAGAGCTGTGTGATGACAGGTCACACACAGTTGGGCAGTGTTAGACTGGGGGTGGTTTTCACTTTTGCTGGTTTAGCCTGAAACTCTCTCGCATCTTCTTCAGTTTCTCATAACAGAAGTATCTGTTTCTAAGAGTGGTTTTGAATGCCAAAAAATTGCACACCATACCAAGACAGCCAGCAGGACATGGAAAATATAATCAAGTGGTTACTTACTTTGTCCTTCTTGTTGCCAAACAATAATTTTAGATGTTTTCTTTTGAAATTTCCTCCTGGTTGATATCCCGCTGTGTACCTTCCCTCTTCACATGCTTTCCCGTTATCATCATCGTTTGGTTTTCTGGTTTTCTTCTTCAAGAACTTTAGACTAATTAAAAATCAATCTCTTCCATGAGTACTTGTCCAGTAATTATCCTTTTATTCCTCCAACCTGACTTTTTTATGGTAATCAAGAACCTTAATTAGTCAGGAAAGTTCACAAGCTTCCCTAGCTAATAAATTCTAAGACAAAATTCACTTTTGAATTCCAAGTTTTCTACCCTTAAAGGACAAGAGGAAAGGCAGTGAATTCAGAAAGGAAATCCTCAGATCCTTCAACAGTGATAAGAGAAATTTCACACCCAGAACTAAACATCATATTTAGTTAAAATTATTAATGATACACATTCACTCCCTATGGTGAGATCCCCATGGTAGATCTCTGTGTTATACGATTCTCAATTTGAAAATGTACATTCTGGGTTGCCATTTCACAGACAGAACTGCTTGCCTGGTAGAAAAGACGTCAAGCAGAATGACTCAGAAGCCATTGCTAGAATGAAAGAGAGAAAATGGGAATAAACAGCAGAGCGGGGTGTGGCGGGGACTGCCGTGGGCACACTCTCTCTCTGCCACCTCTGACCACTGAGAATGGCCGTTGTCATCAGAGGTGCTGAGGAATCTCTCTGAACGCTCAGACCAAATGTCCTCTCATGGAGAGCTCCTTTTGAAGACCTTTCCAGATCTAGTGCCTCCAGAGGCTATAGATACTCTCAGGAATCTATCACATGATTAATTTTTAATGTAACTTAGAGACTCCAAAATCCATACTCTTCATTCAGTAGTGCAGGAAATTAAAATGTTGGTTCTGCTCACCTGAACAAACTTACTGTGCAGCTGTGGGATAAAAGAAAATGAGGAGTTTCATGCTTCTGCTTCAGAATAGCAAACAGTTTCTGTTATTTCCCCCCAGATGTTATGTAATATTACATCTCCCTCTTCTCTCTCCCCGCCCCTGGGTATTTTTCAAATGAAATGCCAGATAGAGCTCTGTTTTATTTTTAAGTTGTGACTGACTTATTGTCTTGAGATTTTTCAGGCTGAAGTTTGCTCCTTTACAATGGGGTTAGAATAATCTTTGGCAGGTCACCAGATGACCGCACACGTCTCCCGTGCATCTTGCACCAGTGGTAACATTTTCACAGACCCTGGCTGTTGCCTCATTGCCTCCTGTGGTCAGGGCCGAGAGCTGGCACGGTGCCCCTCTCCCCGGAGGTATCCGTGTTCTGCGTGTGCTTCAGTTTGGGGATATTTAGGCAAAGCTTCTGCTGACTTCACCCACGTTTCACCCACATTCATCGTGTCCTTCCAGACCAGGAATCTTTGCCTGACAGGTTGTTTTCTCCACAGGCAGGCAGTCACATCCAGACTCTGATGGGGTCCCAGAGCCTTCAGCATCGCAGCCGGGAGCAGCAGCCGTACGAGGGGAACATAAACAAGGTGACCATCCAGCAGTTTCAGTCGCCATTGCCTATTCAGATCCCCTCCTCACAGGCCACGCGGGGACCTCAGCCTGGACGGTGCTTAATTCAGACGAAAGGGCAAAGGAGTATGGACGGCTACCCAGAGCAGGTGAGCAGACTTCCTTACTGACAGGTCTTTGGGAAAGTACAAAGAATCCTTGGTTGGACTTCCCTCATTCATGTGCTCCAGGCCGCGATGCCTCACTGTGCTGAATGAGGTGCATACTCTCTGTAGAAATTTTAACATTATTTTCAATGGTTAAAGACTTCAACCTGTAGGAATTTGTGGTTGGTAAAATGCCCATTCCACATAAGGAAAAAACTGGTGAATCAGAACAGTTTTCCAAGTACCGTCCCACATCCTCTCCCGCCCACTCCCAACTCCAGTTTAGCGCTCCAGGACCGACGTGTTAGGAAGAGCTTCGGTGGACTGGGTGCATTGCCCAAGGCCGCTGAAACTGGGGACATAAAAAGTAAACTGTGTGCTTCCTGTCCATTTGTCGGAAGACGTTTTCTAAAAGTCTTATCTTCTGACTGTTGAAAAGTAGAGATAAATCTTTGCTCTAAAGAAAATTATAAATAGCTAGAAGGAAAATAGTCCTTAACTGCTCCAAAAGTTACTGATAAAAGCCATACAGTTAAAAAAAAAAAAAAAAAACTAGCAATTCTTTTGACGGACATATCCTTAAAATCAGGACTTGCTTTTCCAAGGTAGAAGCAGTTATTCTTCCTTAGAACTGGGAAACTGTATGGGATCTCATCCATTGAGCTATATTAACCTTAGTAAGATTGGAAAGTCTTAGTACTCTCTTAAAATTAATTTCTCTTATTTCAGTTTTTGGATAATTAGGCAAAGCTTCCACTGACTTCACCCACATGGTGATATGGTCTATACATATAAAAGTTTCACTGGACTGTTGCTCACCCCACCTTATTTTTTTAAACACATCAGACAAGATTAATGTCATTCTCCACTTTTTTCTTTTATATTACTAAGTGCCATTGATCATTTGGACCCAGCTGCTTTAAGCATCTTCTCTATTTCTTAATACTCTTCTTGAAGCTGAAATGATGTATTAACCTCTCTCACAATCACGGATACTTTTTTCAAGATAATTTTCATCCTGTCCTGCCCTAATCTAAACATAGGTATGTTGGAATGAAGGTATAATAAACCAGATGCCTTCAATTAAATAATGGCAGGAGGTTTCAATTCTCCAGAGATTATAAAATGGTAATAAAGTTTTTAATTATGCTTTATCAAAGGCACTCTAGGAGATTAAAACTTGTTCATAGATATTACTCCCCCTCAAATATCGTAACCTCAACCCAGTTCTCTGACTTAGTTTTTCTTATTTGTAGCTACATGGGTTTTTCCCTCCCATAATCAGTGTATTTTAAAAATCCACTGAGACCAATTCCTTCCATTTTCACCTGCTTAGAATATTAGGTTTAGTGAGAGCAGACAGTTTTTCTAACTGTCCTAAATTTAAAGGCTGTGTTAACATTATTTCTCAAAAAATACATAAATTGTAGAAAGTTTGAGTAATGACAAGATGCCTGAGTGCTAATGTTTATGTGCGTATTGAATTTAAAGATGATTATTTCAGAAGATGTACTTAGCAGTTTTCAAGTGCTCTGATCACAGCTCTGATAACATCAGGCGTCTTTCAAACTGAGGTGAAAACAGAGGGAAGTGTCACGGCCGTGTCATGGAAGGGCTGACATGCGACTCCTTTGGCCATCCCACTTTTTTCCTACCTTCATTTCAGGCTGAAATGATTTGGAATGTATTGTACATTTCAAACTAGCTAGAAATGAGAAACTGAAGTGCTCCCAGCACATGGATGTAAATTCCCAGGGTGGAGGATCTCCTGATACTTCAGCCTCATCTGGACACATTCTGGGAATGTACCGAAATTCATAGACACGCTATAAATATGTCCCTGTCTTATCCATTTTAAAGTTTTAGAACAAATGCGTAAAGAGCCTTTAAACAACTAGCACTCATCCCAAAACTCTTCCCAACTCCAGTTATAAATCAAGTAGTTTCTTTAAAATTTAGTACTGTCAGTATAACACTGGCCCCTACTGGGAGGTGCTGAACCAGCTCATGTTGGCCCCGTGTCAGATGCCTCTTCCCACTCCATCCCCAGGGACATCCCAGGCCC